TGAAGAGCTCTGACACTAAGATGTGTGACTGTCGTGGGTTGGTGGGAAACAGGTTCGCCCAGAGTCAGGGTTACCAGAACTCAGGGTGGCCTCATGTGCGCACCTACAATCAGGGACTCTGCCTGCACCACACTGAAACAGAGACCCCCCTGGAGTGTGTTGAGAATTGGAGCCCCCTAGTATGTGCCTGGAGTCAGATTTCCCTAAGAATCCAATATCTCAGCCTTGCGCTGAGATTCAGGGTCCTTGTGTGTGCATGCACCTAGAATTGGAGTCGCTGGCTCTTTGTGTGAATGCACTGGGAATCAGGGCTTCCAGGCACGTGTGATAAGAAACAGAGTCAAGTCACTGGTGCTTAGTGCTGCCTCCAGCCTGGAGAATTGGGGTCCCAGTCAGCTTGGGGGACTTCAGTGAACGCTTGCCCAGAATCAAAGTCTGGTGGCACTACTGCTCTGCATGGGCTTCGGGTTTGGTTGCCCGATTGCCTTGCGGGGAACAAATTCCCAGTGTCTGAGCACTCCTAGGCTCAAGTTCCTGCAGAGGTACTGCGGGGAACAGGTTCCCAGTCTCTGCAAGCTCTCAGGCTCAAATTCCTGCAGTTGCACTTGCTGTGCAAGGGGCAGGTCTGTCAGTTACTATGGTGCTGCCTGCAAGCCTGCGGGGAGGAGGGTAGGCTCTGTTACTCACAGAAATCTGCTGCGGGGATGTCTGGATTCTTGGTGTTTGTGGGTCTGTAGCTGTGGTCACAGTCTCTGTCCCCAGTGGCTGCAGGGTCCTAGTTTGCATCTAAGACCAGACTGGGTGGTGCTGAGGCCAGGATCCTAGTCTCAAGTAGCTCTGTTTCTCAAAATGGTGTGTTCTCTGTGCCCTCACTGGCCACCCAGGAGTGTCTGCACTGGGAGTGGGGCTCTGCCCTCTAAGCCTGCCTGGTTTGGCAGCCCCTTGGAAGACCTGCAGAATCTAACTGTCCCTAGTTCATACACATACACACCACACATGTCCACACACTCCTCTATCGCTCCTTCGAGCTCTCACACTCTCCCTCCCTACCTTCCTGCCAGTGGCCATCTTCCTAATCCCTAACTTCCCGTTTTCACTTTGTTGTTGATCATTTGAGATCACTGAGGTTCCTACAGTGACTTCATTTTTCAGCTTACCTTTATATTTTCTTCAAATTTGACTTCTTGATTTTTATAAATAATCTATATTAGATAATTAAGTCAAACTTTTTCTAATATATATGCATATATAAAGTCTCTAACATATAATAATAAAAGCATAATGTGCAAATTGCCTGAATGGCCAAACAGCAGAATGACCTTCTGGAGGACTTTCCAGACGAAGCTGGGGCTGCGGGGGCCGAGGCAGCAGCCGTTGGGGTGGCTGCAAGGGCCTACCCTTGCAAGGATTTCATGCATCAGGCCTTTAGTATTCCATAAAAGGTAAGGCATGAACCTGTCACCAACAGTAATTTTGGCTATATAACACCAAGTAAAAAGAAACGTTTTAAATTTCTTTTTACAAATTTTAGTTCTATGTGGCAGATTTCCAACATGTCTTTCCTTTCCACAGAATATATGATGTACATGATTTAACACCATATTAGTGCTATAATAAAAATACAGAACTGTGGAAAACTTCCTTAAATTGGATAGTGGGGTAAAGTTTATGTGAGATAGGAAAGTCTGATTTACAGAATATGTTCCAATTGATAAATTTCCTAACTTTAAAAGTATTTGATAACAAAATATGTCTTATAAATTTTGTCAAGAAAAAAATGGGATCCAACCTTTGAATAGTGAATAAGACCATTTTTATAATGGACTTGTTAAATTCCAAATAAGTTATTGTACAATTTATAACAAGATCAGAGAAGTATTCACAACATTACTTCTCAAAATTAGCACTGACAGTTGGATTTTTTTTCTATTCATTTGATAGCATCCAATTGATGAGCATCCAGTTAGTTAATTTTCTAATTCATTACTATTTCAGTATGACAATATCAAAATAAGTGTTCATCGTGGCAAACAAACATTTTTAGAAAAAAGTGTAAATGAAGTGAACAAAATCAGAGTTCCTCCCAGGGGCACTCTGCTATTTCAAACTGAATGAGAGTTGTAACAGGGCATGTTTAGAGAATCAAAATGGTACAAACAAAGGCCCTTTCTCTACCACATGTTTTGTGAAACATGCAAAGCATGTCAGTTCAATTATTTGTGAGATTTTTGCATTTGTATGTGACTATTACTTTGGAAATTTAAAATAGGGTGTAAAATATTACTTTATTGACCAGATTAATGTTAATTGACCAAAATACTGATACTAGTTAGCATTACTGGGAGCTCATATGTGCTGAACATTATTCCAAGCATTTTTCATATATTAACTCATTTAGATGTAGGTAACATTACTAGCCCCACTATTCAGAAGAAGGAACCAAGGCAAAAAATAAATAAATCAGCTAACTTAAGTTAGAGTTGGAGCCCAGATTGGGAGTCAGATCTACAACTTGATTCCCTATTGTCTAAAAAGGCCATAAATCTTTACAGGTTATATAGTCAGATTTGTCAAAACCTTCCATGACCGTTTTGGTTCCTTTCTCCATAGTTTGATATTCTTCCTTAATTACTTTAGTACTTTTGGTAAATGCAGTTCTGCCTAAGATAAGAATGAAAAACTTTATGCATTTTGTGAGAACATTTTTTAAGTTAAGGAATCTAATGTATTTTAGTGAAAAATCATAATATTAGTACCCAAGGGGACCATTTAGTCATGACTTCAGTGATTGATACCCAAATCATCAAAATGTACCACAATATGAACAGTTCAAATAGAAAACTCCAAGCTTAGAGATAAGGACCAAAGTTTGGATATAGACCAATTATCTGGGGATTTTCAAAGGAAAAAAGCCAGTCTTGCATGACCTATTCTTTTCTTTTAATTTCAGAGAGGAAAGGGAGAGGGAGAGAGAGATAGAAACATCCATGATGAAAAAGAATCATTGATCGGCTACCTCCTGCATGCTCCCTACTTGGGACTGAGCCCCAAACCCAGGCATGTGCTCTGACCAGAAGTCGAACTGTGATCTCCTGGTTCATAGGTCAGTGCTCAACCAATGAGCCACACTGGCTGGGCATGACCTAATTGCTATTAATACCAGCTTCTTTATAAATCAGTGTCTCTTAGGTTCTAGGTAAAAGGACTCTTGTGATTCAGGGATGACCAAATGATTTTATAGGAATGGAAAAATAACTAGCATATCTAACCAATATTCAGATTTGTACTAATAACTATACTGATTATACTGATAAAAATAAAAACCTTGGAAATGTTTTAATAAAAATTTATGGTGTGGAATAGTGGAAACTGATGCTTCATAGGTATGTAGAAAAACCATATAGTGGAAACTAAAGGAATCAACCTCTGCAATTAACAGAAACAGGAGTTAAGGAAGAGTATATTAACTAAAAATAGAATATTATTATCTTGCAGCAGTTTATCTTCTTTTCTTGAGTAAAGCTATTCTTGGGAATGTAATTCATTGTTTATAATAGACTTGTTAATGGGACTTTAGTAAAGGAAAGAAAACATACTAACATAAAGTTTAAGTTTAAATAAATTAAAGCAATATACACAGATACAGCTACTAACTGATTCATTCTCTAAAGATACATTAAAAAAAAAAAGGAAATACTGCCATTCTACAATGCTATTTAGTGTGGCAAGGACTAAAAAATAAAAAAAAGTATTTAATTTAATCTTCAAAATGTCTTTGCCTCTTCACTCAAATGAATATATTTTCTTTGCAGATTATTAAGATTTTGGAGGTGGATGAGTGAATTCTGTATTAGATCTTACAGAAACCTTTGATTTCTTTAGAGCTTTGGCTATGTCACATATCCTCTGCTGTCTAAAAGGAAATCTTACATATTTTATATACATATCTTTCTATTGAGGGGAAATTCAATTATTGTTTGAATAAAAAATATTTATTTTTACTATTGCTGAACAGTTTTAACATTATATAAGAGATTTTTATCTGTATTAAAATAAGGAATAAAAAAAGCAATGATTATACATGGTCCCAAGATAATTTATATTTTCTTGGGTAGAGTGATACAATTTTTAAAAATTTAAACAAGAAAAACCATCTGGGCCATACTTTGGCTAAGCATTCTCAAATGTTCTCAATTCATGGTATATTTCAAAGAGAATATTTGATATTTCTATAATAGTTTAATTACTTGTTCCTTTAAAACAACCTGTCAACATTTTATCTTTAATGAAATAAACTGGAAATTAATTTATTCAAATAAAAATTATCTGCATTATATTTATGACATTGCTATTTCTTCAAATAATTACTATTCAGAGTTTGCACAAGATTCTGAATTCTTATTTTTCTCTTTTGCCTTTATAAGTAGGTCCTTTTAATGCCACAGAGAACATTCCATACTTTAAAGATTAAGATTAATATTATATGCAAAATAATTTACATTCCCAGGTATAGATTATTGCATAGACTGTTAGAAGAAACAGATACACATTCCCAAGAATGTAGTTTTAGGAAAGAAAATTACTAAATGCACTGTTTTTTTTTCTAGATCTATGAGCTTAAAGATTCCATGCCTTGTATTCTTGTTGTGGGAGCAGTGAATACATTTCTTAAAATATAAAATATATGTCAAGTTGGGTTTGTTCAAATAACTACCAATTTTAAAAGTTTCCCCTTTTCACATACTTAAAATACCCTTATAATTATGTGTATCAAGGCAAAAAGATATTCAGTGCTCCTCAAGCTTTATACCATACTTTTTAAAGACTGCTTAAAGTAGTTATAATTTATAGATATTAATTAAACTACCATTGAACAAATCAATCTGTTAAGATAACACATGATCCCATCTTTAAAAAAATTGTGAACGCTCAGTCTTTAAAAAGTTGAAGAATTCAGTCACCACACCTGTTAACGGGTTAGTTGTTTCTTTTTTACTAACCTCCCTGAAGCAGTCTTTTAATTTCTTCATCTTCAAGTAAATGATCATCACCACCTTCAATGAGTTTGGTGACTTTGGTGACCTCTGAGAGGGTACATGTTTATAACAGAAATTGGTTTATGTAGCAAGAAGATAGGAGACCAGATATAAACACATCTGCCCAACAATGAATTCCAGACCAACACTTGGTTCTTTCTCAGATTTTAGTGCTGTTTTTCAATAAACCTGTTTCCTTATAAATCTGTTGAACAATATATAACAAATATGTAACATAACAATCAATGTGACTGTCATTTAAGCTTCATTCTATATGTTTGAATTTTTTTCTCTTATTTTGGTATAGAACTTAAACAATGAAATGATATAAAATAAAATAAAAAACACATATAAAGCCTCTCAAAGATTAGTCTTTACAGACAGCTTAGGTAAAGTCATATTCTTATTTTTTTTTTAGTATGCTGACCTTCTTGCAACAATTTCTTCAGAGTTTCTCCTGTTTCTCTACCACCAGTAGTAATCCTAGTATATTTTATTTCAGGACCTAAAGGAAAGACAATAAAAAAATAGGAATAATATAGGGGTAGATAAACTTCCTCTGTAAAGGGCCAGATAGTAAACATTTTAAACTTTGTAGGTGATATGGCCTGTGTTGCAACTATTCAACTTAGTAGCTATAGTGTGAAAATATTCATGGACATTATATAAATGAATTAACACTGCATTCCAATAAAACTTTATTACATGAGTAGGCGGCATGGGCCATAGTTGCTAATCACCCATTTAAACAAATACTTATAGAATAGTTGTATTCAGAATTTTAAGCTAATTTATTGGTGGGAGATTGATACAGAGGTTTACTGAAATTATTAATTGTTTTATACATACTTGCATATATTCTGGTATGTATATGTGTAGACCTTAAGATTATTGGAAAACCAAAAGAGGGAATGGTTTTGGTTCTAGGATATACTAATACATTATATAATGTGTATGAAGCACATAATAAAAACAAATTCTTATAGATTTGTCTACAAATTTCCAACTCAGAGAAAAACATAGATTATACATTTAGAATAATATTATATCTGCCAAAAAAATAGATACTTCAATAACCACCATGAAAATGACAGTTTCTCTAATAATTATTTTAATATATATTTTTATTATTGATAGTATTACAGATGTCTTCCACTTTTCCCCCATTTACCTCTCTCCTCCCAGCTTCTACCCATCCCTCCAGGTCTTCACCCCCCCCCCCATTGCCCCTGTCCATGAGCTATTCATGTAAGTATATATAAGTTCTTTGATTTATCTCTTTTCATGTCCCTAATCCCCACACCAAGGTATGTCAGTCTGTCCCATGCCTCTATGCTTCAGGTCTTATATTGTTGGTCAATTTATTTTGTTCATTAGATTCTACAAATAAGTGGGATTGTGTAATATTTGTCTTTCTCTGTTTGGCTTATTTTGCTTAATATAATTCTATCCTGGTCCTTCCATTCTGTCCCAAAGGATAAGAGATCCCTCTTTTGTACTGCTGCATAGTATTCCATTGTGTAAATGTCCCAAACTTTTTTACCCATTAATCTACTAAACGCCACTTGGGCTGTTTCCAAATCTTAGCTATTGTAAATAATGCTTCTGTGAACATAGGGGTGCATATATTCTTTATGACTGTTGTTTTCAGGATATAATAATTCTTATAGAGATATTTTAGGATTAGCTGTAGTTTGATTTTTATAATCCAAGGAACAGTTACATCTATGGAATTAAAGATTACCTGTAATGACTCGTTCTTCCCTTGTCTCTTTTTCAGTTATTTCCACAGGCACTCCATCAATGATTTTGGTGTATTTTTTAATAATTGGCTCTGAAATTAGGGGTAGAAAAATGCATTTGATTCATCACCTCATGGTGTCAAAAGCTAGACATTTTAATGAGTAAATGTATTTCTCAAAACAATACCATTTGGAATTTAATTATACAGTCAAAGTCAGTTCTCAGACATCTCCCATCTCGAACAATTTGGTTCTTGACCAAGTAGTTCACAGAAAAATGTCTTGATTGTGAACAAAACTTCAGTTCTTGACCTCACAAACCTTTAATGCTGATATATCAGCATGACAAAAAGCATCTCTTAGTACCCAGCCAGTGTTGCTCAGTGGCTAAGCATCGACCTATGGACCGGAGGTCATGGTTTGATTCCCAGTCAGGCCATATGCCTAAGATGCAGCTTGATCCCCAGTGTGAGGCATGCAGGAGGCAGCTGATCAATGATTCTCTCTCATCATTGATGTTTCTATCTTTCTTTCTCTCCCTCTCTCTTCCTCTCTGAAATCAATAAAAATATATTAAAAACAAACAAACAACATCTCTAAAGTTACAAACAAATGAGAGACTGAGAGTATGAATCAGTTTACCACAAAACCTCCTGTTGTTAACATCTCAGGAAATTGTGCTGGGAATATTTTTGTTGTTGTTTTGTTGCTGGCTAGATGGACAATTAGCACAATTTTAAAATATAAAGAGGCCATCAAGTGTTGCTAAAGGTGTGAAAGTGCTCATGAAACAATGATCTCAGGCAATTGAAGAGATAGAAATATTTTTGTTGATTTGTATAAAGAAAAAGCAGTTAGCTGGTGCTAGCATTTCAAGGCAATGATTTGTGGAAAAGGGAAGACGCTGTATACTGACCTGAAAGACACCCCTGGAATGAATGCTGAAAGTGGTTCCTTTAAGGCTAGTAGGGGGTGGTTCGATAAATTTAAGGAAAAAAGTGTTTATTTATAGAATAAATAGTACATTAGACATGTACTCTATATAAGAAAGGATACAACAGGGAATTATTTGGGAGTCTAGAATGAATTAATTCAATTTAATTCTTTCTAATCAGAAAAAATGATTCTGTTTTTGAACAAATTGTTTCTCGAACAGCCTTCTGGAATGAATTAAGTTTGAGAATCAAGATTCCACTGCAATAATTTTGGGAACACAACTCAAATAAATTCAGATCAACAGATGTCTGAAAACTCATAATTGTGTCCTGAATCTTGGGTAAGGGCAAAGGCCATCTAGTAAGCTAACTCTCCATGTCATATTTGTTTCCTGACTGTGGAATGAGTATTTAGTGAGAATCCAGAGAGTTCTACATTATTAGAATGAGAACTCTATGATAATCTTAACAGTGGCTTACTAGTCAGTCTAATACAATGGGATTTTTTCTTCTAAGTCCAATATGTCCTTTTGTTGAAATTATTGTCATCATTATATTTCACAGTCATCACTGCATATAGAGAAATAATGACAGTTTTGTTGAACCTGGTGGCTTAATGGTTAAATTAATTACAACTAGATCAATTAAAGGGCATTTATATTTTATTTGACAGGTTAATAAGAACCCATAACTGAGAAAAGTATTCCCATGATTTACATAAAACAAAAACCAAGAGGAAACATCAGATGTTCAATATATTTAAACCAATTCCTGTGATTAAAATAGTCATAGAGATCCCAACTAGGCACTAGGAAACATTCATAACGCACCTCCATGGATTATTTCAGTTACTGTTTCACCTTCGTTAATCAGTCTGAATTTAGGCTCACCTTCAATTTTCATCTTTGTTATTGTGGGTCCTGAGACATTGTTTTAGGAAACAAATTATCATGTTAAGTAGTCCTTTAAATTTACCAGGACGATATATTTATTTCAACATTTGGTGTTACTCAAACATGAAAGTGATTTCAGGATTTATGAATTCAGTTTTAAACAATTCCCATTTTTTTCAAATTAGGAAGTATTTGGTATTCTATTAAAATTACTTTCATCTGTAAGAGGGCTTAAATTGATTTGTAAATACATCCATTCATTCATAGTTATAAAGTATGATCACATAAAATATGTGACTATATTTTGTGAATCATATAGTATATACAAATTTGAGTTGTTCTAATTATTGCTAGTGTTATTTTACCATACTGAGATTGTCTATTACTACTTCTTTATTAAATTTTAATTACTATCTTACACTTTTTAATCCAATGAGCATAAGATTGAACATTTAAAAATCCCAAATTTATGCCTACTTTTAAGATACTAAATTTCAGGCTTTATGGCTAAAAGAATTTGAGTACTTACCTTCTATATGTGAATGATGCAAAAATTTACTAAGTAATAAACAGTCCTTCAAATGCAAAAGTTAAATGTGTTGTATTTGACTTGCAAAATGATTTTGCTTCAGTAGAAAATAATTTTGAATGTTAGAAAGTTGATTACTACATTAGTTAATCAAGACTATTTCATAGAGGAGAAGAAAAATAAAGTTCAGTACATTTAACTTATTCTGTAACAACCTTCAACAGCTGAGGGTAACTATATTTGCTTATCTTTGAGAGGATTTATTTGCTTTGTCCAGAAATTCTCAATTACCCAGAATTAAACAGTCTAGAACAAAATAAAATGAGGAAAACAAAAGTATAGTTATTTTAAACAATAAATATTTCACACCATGATATTTGATCTATAGGGGTACTGAGTATCAAAACATAAGGCCAGATTTTTAAAGTATAGATATTTCAAAAGAAAAGTACACTTAAGCTGTTTAAGCATAGGAAATGAGTTAATAAATCATCTGACTCAACATTTCTTTAAAGGAACTTAAACTGATATTTCAGAAATATCCTTTATAGTGAATCTCTATGAAGGCAAGGTTTTTCATCAAAAATATTTCTTTTTCATATTTACTTCCAGCATTTAGGAGAGTAACCAGCACAAGAAATGCTCAATAAGTATGTATTGAATTGAATTTCCATTGATTTATTCTTTATTCTGAAATTTGGTTAAGTATTCTTTTTTAAAATAAGAAACATCTTGGAGTCTAATTTATTTAGTGAGAATTCAATAATCATCAGTATATCTTCAAAAGTGCAAACAATGAGAAGGAAATATCAGTATCATTTTAGAGCAGGAAATTATAAATGGCTATGAAGATAAGCATTTGTCAAGTCACCACATTAAGATGGTTAGACACGAAAATGAAATTTTATTGAGGTCTGACTCTTAATAATAATTAAAATACATTAGATAAAGGTGGCGCAAAGATATTGAAGCTGGCTCACATAGACAGTAAGTATAACGAGAAAAGTGAGTGCTTAATGTTCTAGTCTGAAACATCAGGAGAAATGTTTAACTCATACATATGAGTTCAGGGTTAGAACTAAGGTTTCTAAGATTTGACTCACTGCACCAGCTATTTATTCCTTCTTCTATTCCAAAATATATTATGTATGGTTGTAATTTTAAGCTTTCATCAATGTACAGCTTCTGTACTCTCTTAAGTTGTTGGATGAAAAATGCCTGCACTTTTTGGAAGAGTTTTTTGTAATAGTATAAAAGAGATCCATGTGGGGAGATTGGAAATGAAGCTGCAAAAAAAGAGTATATTCTCTGAAGGAATCAAACTGCAGCAAAAATGCTCAGCGTTTATTTTAGTGAATATCTGGGTACTAATGCTAATGCAATAGCTCATTAGGTTCATGTGAAACTACTGTTTTCTCAGTCCAGAACAAGCAAATGTACTGAAAGTATTAGAACTGCACAATCTACTCTGTGAAATAATTTGCATTCCCTATTCTTCAATAACATAAGCATGCCATTTGTATAGAAATATTTAACATGTTAGTTTAAAAAAGAATGTAGATACATTCATAGAAATCAGCCTATTATATGGGCTTTTCTCACAGTAAAAGGAAACATGTATAACATTGATTTTTACCTTCAGTTTTGATAATAGGCTGAAGACTGCCTTCAATCACTTTAATTTTTGGTTCTACAACTTTGGTTATAATTTTAGTAGCTGAAAGTATAAAAAGTGGAACATAATGATGCTTATATATCAACAACCTGAATAAAACAGTTTTTTTTGTTTGTTTTTGTTTTGCTTGTTTTTGCTAGGTACTGAGGTATCAGATACAGTAATATGTTCATACAGAAGATGAAGGAAATATTCATTGTACATATCTAGTAGTATCTTCTTATGGCCAGATGTTGTACTCTGAAGTCCAGGCACTTGGATTTGTTCCAGTGAAATATAGACTCACTAAATGGGAAATTCTATCTAGAAATCTCTAATTTCGAACTGCACCAGTAAAGCTACTTACCTTCTTTTATACTTCTTGAAAATATTAACTACATAGCAACAGAAGACAATAAATATATTTAATTTCATGCAATTCATAATATCTCAAATTGCATTGTTGAATTCTTTCTCAATTAGAAAAGAATTAAAATAAAAGGCAAAATATTTTTCATGCATTTTATAACATTAATCTAGAGAGGAAAATAGAAAAATAGCTCAGCATACTTAAAAGTAAAAATAAATCTCAGCCAGCCAGATGAGCTCTATGCAACAAACATTATATGATCACTAGAGGCCCAGTGCACAGAATTTGTGCACGGGAGGGGGGCGTCCCCTCAGCCCAGCCTGCACCTTCTCCAATCTGGGAACCCCTCGGGAGATGTCCATCTGCTGGTTTAGTCTCACAATCAGGGACTGCTGGCTCCTAACTGCTCACCTGCCTGCCTGGCCTGGTCACCTCCAACTGCTCCCCCTGCCAGCCTTGTTGTCCCACACAGCCTGCTGTTTGGTCATTACTGTTACTGTGATGGTGTCCTGGACAATTTGCATATTCCTCTATTATTAGTATAGATTATTTAAGTTACAAGCTACAATATCATTAATTTTTATCATCATCATCTTTTTTAAAATTTAAAGGTATGTATTTTGAATGCATGTCATCCACCCAACCAAGATAATAATGTGTAAAATTTATTTAAGATAGTAGCCAACTTTTTGGTTGGTTTTTGTTTGTACAGATTAACTAAAAATGAGCCTCTGGAGCCTCATAAGCAGAGTTACTGGCTTTTTGTAACTTCTAATTAGTCCTTAAAAGATGGCTCCATTAGATAACATGCTGCACTAAAGCTACTTGTGCATTCATAACAGATATACTGACATTTTAAAGGTGAGGTGTTAGCATAGTTTGGGTTTCTGTAACATTCTCACCTCAGTTTTATGAGATGTTTATTTGTATCCCCTTTTGAACTAAGATGGCTTAAAGGCCTTAATTGTGACCATGCTTCAGTCATATCAAAATTTTATATCTTGAGATCTCAAATTATAAAGCTCTAAGGCATAATAAATCTGTGTCCAATTATTGGTTTCACAAGTGGTCCTACCATAGAGAAACCTTACCATGAAGATCAAATACAGAGGTCATATCCACTGCTACTTTCAAAATGAGTTAATTACTTTTATCTCAAATTTTTACTTCATACTAAGGAACTTGAAGTTTAGGGCGTTTAGTTGATTGTTAGTTTTGTTTCAATCACACTTTCCTGAAGGCAAATAGTTCTGACAGGTCACCAGCCAAAGATTAAATACTGATTTTATTACTCTTTATCTCAATATATTTGACAAAATTGCTAAACAGCAGTCCCCCCCCCAAAAAAAAAATTAGGATGTATGGTATTTTAGGGACCAGAATAATGTGTAGCAAGCATATTAAATAAATTTTATACATCAGTCAATAAAGAAACATAAAATATAAATTTTTGGTTTAATTAGTCTCTACCTCTATTTGATGTATGCTTCTAAATAACAGCCTACCTATCTGATGTTGAGGAGGAGTTAAAGAAACATTTGACATCAGAATGTAAATCTCAAAGCTGTTTCAAGACATTGAGTAGGAAGATGAGATTTACTAGACTTGCATAATTTCATAAAGTGTAACATTCTCTGTGAGTGAGGATCTAATTTCAGTAAAGGAAAATATAGGAATTATAGATGGTGGCTCATTGTAAGCAAAATATTACATTGACATATATGGAAAGTGGTGAATTTATTATGGATTAAATAGAAAAAGTAAAAAAAAAAGTAATGCATATATATATCTTAAGTAGGGAAAGATGATATAACATTTCTGATGAATAGAGCCCATAAAGATTCTTTAGTTTTTTATGAAATACTAGAGGCCCGGTGCACAAAATTCATGCAAGAAGTGGGGGTCCCTTCAGCCCAGCCTGCACCCTCTCCAATCTGGGACCCCTCGGGGGATGTCTGACTGCTGGTTTAGGCCCGATCCTGGGGATTGGGCCTAAACCGGCAGTCGGACATCCCTCTCACAATACTGGACCACTGGCTCCTAATTGCTCACCTGCCTGCCTGCTAGGTTACCCCCAAATGCCCCCCCCTGCTGGCCTGTCACCCCCAACTGTCCCCCTTTGCTGGCTTGGTTGCCCCTAACTGCTTTGCCCACTGCCGGCCTGGTCGCCTCTTATTGCACCCCCCTGCTGGCCTGGTCACCCCCAACTGCCCCCGCCAGCCTGGTCACCCAACACAGCCCCTGTGCCCGCCTGGTCACCCCATGCAGCCTGCTTGTTCAGTTGTTTGGTCGTCCCTCACTAACCTCCCTGCTGGCCTGGTCATAGGCAGCCATCTTGTGAGGGCATGAGGGTTAATTTGCATATTACCTCTTTATTATATAGGATATCTTTAAAACATTGTAACTTCCATAATGAAATATATACCAGGTTTAATCAAAAGTATTCCAACTAAATCTTTAAAACAATTCTGAGCTAGCTTGATATTGGATTTGCATATATTATCTACTAGAGGCCTGGTGCACAAAATTCGTGCATGGGGGGTGTGTCCCTCAGCCCAGCCTGCACCCTCTCCAATCTGGGACCCCTCGAGGGATGTCCAACTGCGTGTTTAGGCCTGATCCCACTGGTCAGTCAGACATCCCTCTCACAATCCAGGACTGCTGGCTCCCAACCACTCGTCTGCCTGCCTGATTGCCCCTAACAACTCCCCTGCCAGCCTGATCGATGCCTAACTGCTTCCCTGCTAGGCCAATTGCCCCTAACTGTCCTCCCCTGAAGGCCTTGTTTCTCCTAACTGCCCTCCCCTGCTTCCCAGTCACCCTTAACTGCCCTCCCTTGCCAGCCTGGTCACCCCTAACTGCCCTCCCTCCCCTGCAGGCTTGGTCAGCCCCAACTGCCCTCCCCTGCCGGCCATCGTGTGGTGGCCATCTTGTGTCCACATGGGGGTGGCCATCTTTGACCACATGGGAGCAGCCATCTTGTGTGTTGGAGTGATGGTCAATTTGCATATTATTCTTTTATTAGATCAGATAATAATCCTATCTAGTAAGAGAGAAACATGGTAATTAGTGTACGACCGCTACCCTTCCCATTGGCTAATCAGGGCGATATGCAAATTAACTGCCAGCCAAGATGGCCGCTGGAAGCCAGGCAGCTGGAAGCAAACATGAGGCTTGCTTGCTTCAGTGACGGAGGACTCCAACGTTCCCCACCTGCTTTGCCGGCCTCTGAGCCTGCAGTTTGAAACATTGTAACAAATATAGAAGCTAAACAAAACCCCAGAAACCTGCTTTCAGCCCACTGGGATCTCAGAGCTGGAGTTATACATTGTTTCGATTTTAGAACCCAAACAAACCAGATACCTGCTTTCAGCAGCAGAGGCCTCAGAGCTGGAGCCAGAGCTAAAGCAGGACCAGAATAAAAAAAAAAAAAAAGAAGAAACAAAGGAGCAGTTGAGAGCTTCCATCACCCGCCAGCCTGAAAACAGCCCAGAGCCCCTCACCCAGACTAGCCAGACACCCCAGTGGGGACCCCCACCCTGAAGGGTGTGTGGCCAGCTGCAAACAGCCATCATCCCCTCATCCAGGCTGGCCAGGCACCCCAGTGGGGACCCCCACACTGAAGGGTGTGTGACCAGCTGCAAACAGCCATCATCCCCTCACCCCGGCTGGCCAGGAACCCCAGTGGGGACCCCCACCCTGGTCCAGGAAACCCTTCAGGGCAAACCAGCCAGCCCCACCCATGCACCAGGCCTCTATCCTATATAGTAAAAGGGTAATAGGCCTCCCAGCACCGGTATCAGCAGAGCCGCGAGGCCTCCCAGCACCGGGATCAGTGGAGCCAAGAGGCCTCCCGGCACCAAGATCAGTGTGACAGGGGGCAGCGCCCAAACCCCTTGATTGCCCTGTGGCTCTGTGTGTGACAGGGGGTGAGGCCACAACCTCCCTATCAGCCCTGCTGTGCTCATGACAGGGGAAGGGGCCACAACCCCCTGATCAGCCCTGCTCTGTGCCTGATAGGGGGGAGCTCTCCAATCCCCTGATCGCCCTATGACTCTGTGTGTGACATGGTGCAGCACCCCAAACCACCCCCCCCCATGGGCCCTGCTCTGTGTGTGACAGGGGGCAGTGCCCCAACTCCCCTATCGGCCCTACTCTGTGAGTGACAGGGGGGAGCTCCTCAACCCCCTGATCGACCCTGCTCTGTGCATGACAGGGGGCAGAACCCCAACCCCCTGATTGGCCCTGGTCTGTGCATGACAGGGGGTGGCACCACAATCTCCCCATCGACCCTGTCTTGAGTGTGACAGGGAGTGGGGCCCCAACCCCCCTATCGGCCCTACCCTGAGCGTGACTGAGGGTGGCATCGCAACCTCCCAATCCGCCCTGCTCTATGCATGACAGGGGGTGCCGCCCCAACTCCCCAATCAGCCCTGCTCTGAGCCCGACCAGGGGCTGCACCTAGAGATTGGGCCTGCCTTCTGCCACCCGGGAGCAGGCCTAAGCCAGCAGGTCGTTATCTCCCGAGGGGTCCCAGACTGCGAGAGGGCACAGGCCGGGCTGAAGGACCCCCCTTCCTCCCCGAGTGCACAAATTTTTGTGCACCGGGCCTCTAGTAAAAGCATTATATGCTAATTTAGACCAGACATCCTTCCAGACGTTCTTCCAGACAACCTTCCAGATGAAGCAGGGGCTGCAAGGGAAGCCTGGATCCCGGATGCCAGAGGGAAGCCAGTGCTGGCAGCCAGGGGAAGGAAAGCCTACTCTTGCATGAATTTTGTGCATTGGGCCTCTAGTTATGACATAATTGAAATCAGTAAGAGCAGCAGACATTTTGTTTTGCTCATTATATTGTCTTTACTTCTTTTCCATACCAAGTGTGAATCTTAAAGAAAATTTTCTTAAATAGCAGATTCTAATGGTATAAAATAGAATAATTTTCTAGTCAGAATAAATGTGGAAATTGAAATAATTTTTTAGCAACTATTATATATTGAGTGTTTAATGGTAGAGTCAAAACAAAATTAGAATTTCTGCTTTGAAAGTTACAAGAAAGAAAGAAAAAATACAAAGGAAGATAAGTCACATTGAAAAAGAAATACCACAAATTATGTTTATGAAAATGACATATCCTTTACCAATGTTAGATAGTAGGGGTTAAATTTTGATAATCTGATAGAATCAGGGATAAAAAGAACCTTGGGATCTAGAAACTTTATGTTTATCACCTGGCAAAAATTTTATTTCTTTGTACAGTTTTGGATAGAGAGAGTTTTTGACCACCAAGTCATAAACATTAAGATTCTTTGTCACATTGTGTTCCACCCTGAATTTAGCCAACTGAGGACTTGAGGATATAGTAAGCAACAAATCCTTTGGCAATGCTATTTCTGTGTCCACACATCTGCATTTTCAGATAGCTCTCAAGTGATTTTTACCTAGCTCTTCCTTTTAAGGTTTGTATGTCTTTTTTTCTGCTTCTCTGCCATACTAGCTATTATATTTTACTGCGATCCTATGTAATAAAAGCCCAGTGACCAAACAGTGGAACAACCAGAATGACCGGTTGACCAGTTACTATGACAAGCACTGACCACCAGGGGGCAGACACTCAACGCAGGAGCTGACCCCTGGTAGTCAGTGTGGTCCCACAGTGGGAGCGCTGCTCGGCTGACTGGGATGAGAGGCGCTCTCACAGCATGCCAATCCCCGCAGGCCACGCCCCCCACCAGTGCACGAATCCTGTGCACTGGGCCGCTAGTTCTTATATATTTTTGGATGAGTGGGGAAATGGTTTCTTGGAGTTGGAGGGCATGGCAAAGGATGAGAGGTCTCATTCTAAGCTCAAGCCTTATTTAAAGTGGGATCCAATTTGCCATTGTTTGAATTCTAAATACCAGATTATCAGTAGTCTCTGTTTGTAAATATAAAAAACATTATCAATATTTTTTATTTTTCCACTTATATGTGACATTCCCATATGTACTTACTATAGACAGTCATGGGGATTTCTTTGAAGGTGCTACCACGAACAAACTGAAAATAAATGTTTATACATGAAGTGTAGTAATATGACATGTATACTTAGTAACATAAAACTAAGGCTAGTTGTATTAAAAAATATGGAACCACTGTATTTCTTACTAAGGTAAATAAAATAAAGCTATCATTACACTTAAAAGAAATGAAGTCTTCATATGAGTCAAATTCCAGTTTCCTGCTATAAGGCTGATAGCTTAACATTTATAGATTTGTAATTCAGTCTTGAAAATTATAGAATACTTAATCCAAAGTCATGTGTTTTCTGACACATTGACTCTATAGTAATAAAGAAGCAAAATATTCCTTGCCTTTAACTATTATGATTAATGACAACTTTTTATAAGTATATATTTTTTCTTATATTCAGTAGCAAAAATATTTGAGGATAAAAAAATTATAGTTGTTTTTCTCCATGTCTCATCTTCCCTACTGGATGGCAAAATTTTTGCATAAAGAGCCATATCTGATTCAACTTAATATTTCACATAACACTTAATATACTGCTTGGCCTCATGTAAATTGTAATGGATTGTTGTTGAATAAAGCCATAAGGAATTTATGTCATTTCTTTACAGATGGGCCAGTGATGCATAATCAACAGAGCAATCCAAGCCTAGTGTCCTACTCATTAATGTACACATTTATAGTTTCTTATGTTCAACATATTATAAATAAATCCAATAATATTCTGTACCTTAATTTGGATATATTTGATCAGTTTATTAAGTACTTCCAGCAGCTGATCACTTCCAATAGGCATGTCTATGAAGAGGAATATTAAATAAATGTTGGCAAGAATATATGAAATAAAAATCTAGGTTTTTTTTAATAAAAAAGATTTAGCATATTAATGAATTCAGTAATTACCAACCTGCTGGATAGAGAAGTTTATCTACAACATGAATGACACCATTTGTTGTCATGATATCAGATTCTTTTGATTTCAATTCATTTATCAGAAGTGTGTCATTTACCTATCAAAACAAGGAATAATGTCGATGAGAAATTTAATGAAAAATGAACATTACAATTTATGAACACTATCATAAATTCATTCCATAAAACTTACTCCTTTCAGATAGATTTTGCTTCCTTGTATGGTCTTTAGAATGTTAGTAACTCCAGGTTCAAACCCCTTTCCAATGAAAACTCCTGGTGTCAGGTGATAAAGGATAATGTTTTGAAGAGCATTTTTGTTGCCTAGAAGGAAAATATATATATTTATTTAATAACATGTCATCTTGTTTTGGCATTTTGATGCTAGGAATACTAAAGAGAAAAATATTTGTCTTTATATTCCCACACTGTATTTCTTATCTAATTGTTCTCTCAAGTTACTATTGATAAATAACATAAATGAACACATAGCCCAAACACATGACAGTAAGCAGTTAACCAAGAATATTAATGAGTGACCCTTCACATATCTTAAATGAAAATAATGAAAACTATGACTCTACAAAAATTTTTTAAAAGGAAACATTTTTGAGGCTGATGTCTGGGCAGAAACCCTTGAGGAAGAAATTAGATCCTGATATTAGATCCTCAAATATTCCATATTCACTTTTACTTACGAATCAGAATTTCCTTTTCTTCATTAGTCATTCCCTTAAAGGCATCATTGGTTGGAACAAATAAAGTCCAATCCCCAGGTTGTGTTAGGAGCTCTTTCAAGTCTGCAGCTTCTAGAAAGCTAAGGAAGATGCTAAACAGAAAAGACATGTGTTTATTTTGTTAGATTTAGATATAGTATGCTCACCTACAATGCATGGAATAGAATATAATCCATGTATTCAGAAAGCATGAGAAAGTTGTTCATACATTTTTATAGGTTTCATATGCAATTTACCTGTTAAGAAAGTTTTTTCATGGGGAAATTATTTAAAGGTACATGTGATTTTTTAAAAATATATTTTATTGATTTTTTACAGAGAGGAAGGGAGAGGGATAGAGAGTTAGAAACATTGATGAGAGAGAAGCATCGATAAGCTGCCTCCTGCACACCTCCTACTGGGGATGTGTCCGCAACCAAGGTACATGCCCTTGACTGGAATCTAACCTGGGACCTTTCAGTCCACAGGCCGATGCTATATCCACTGAGCCAAACCAGTTAGGGCTACGTGTGATTTTTAAATTTTCTAAATACTGTTTTTCTCCTATAAAACTTGAAAAGGTCACACTTTATAGCAAATAAACATTTTTAATTTAATATTCTACAAAATAACTTTTGCTATTAAATATCATTTAAAAATTTAATTATAAAAAACTTGCAAAGAGTAGTTCAGTTTATAAGATTGTGTGTGTTTTTCAGTCACCAAATTATATTATGTTGCACCAGGAAGCAAAATAATGTTGAGAATATATTTAGTTTCATAGACTTATTATTCTAAGTTTTATGATCAGCAATACTGAATATTAAATGCCATTTGGAATTCTAACTGTGAAACAAAAATATGCCAATACCGCTCATTCTTTTGTGGATGTGAAACTAATTAAGTTTACCTAAAGCGTTTATCTTGTTTTAACTTTTCATGGAGGGATTTCTCTGCTGGTTTGATGATCTCTCGGAATATGTGAATAGCACCATTTCTCCCTTGTTTGCTTCCTCTCACCATGCAGGAATTTTCAATGCAGACAGCCTAGCAAAGGAAAAAAAGATACAGCTCTCCATTTCCTTATTTGAATTTTCCTATGTGGAAATAATTGCATAATTAAATTTTTAGATTGACTCTCCTAAGAGGTACCCTGACCTATATGGCTAGTGGAAAAAGCTTCTCTCTTCTGTTTTTAATTCCTTGCAAAATCTGACATCACCTTATTCAACCAGGTTTTCTGCTACTACTCAAGCTACCCTAGGTGTCAGCAGGTAGTTTTATGAGTAAGTAATAAAAGTTCCATAGAATTCCATTGTTACATTTTCTACCATTCCTCTTCATGTTCCAACCATTTTTCCAACCTTCTTAGGAAACTTTAACCTTTTAACTCTTTAGGACCTTTTTTCACTGTCAGTTTCCTGACATCAGTGCCTCTTGTGATCTTCATTAATAGTTTCTATATTTTCTTAACTGTAATATCCCATCAATTTATAAATTAAAGTATTAATTTAGTTATAGTACTTTTAAACAAATAAAGGTAAATATATAATTTAGAGAACAGCCCATTTTCTGCTTCCTTTATAATGTTTGTCATGGAATTGTGGAACTATAATGAACAGATACTGTGTCAAATTCAATTCTAGGAAATGCTTTACTTTCTGTAAAATATTTTAGCTATAGCTGTATGTGTTTCCTGGACAGAAACCACTAGTTGCACTGTGATTTTGATAAGCAATATTTTCTAAAATGTTTTCTTCAGATAAAGTACAGTAGAATCATTTTATAGGATTCAAAAATATTTCTGTTTATGAAAGTTTATCTTGAGAGTTATTCAAAAGAGATTCAATTGCTGAATTGTGATCTCAGAGTAAAAGATCATTCTACATATTTGATTATACATAAAAATTATCTTGTAAATTATAATAGACCCTATAAACTGATAAACAAATGGCCAATGGACAGATGAAGAGATAGTTAACATCATTAATCATCAGTAAATGCAAGTCAAAACCATAATGAAATACTACCTCAGACCAGTCAGAATGGCAGTTAACAAAACTCAAAGAATTAAGAACAGAGTTAGATCCAGAAACTCCTCTTCTGCATATCTAACAAAAAAATTTGAAAAGATATATTCACCACTTTGTTCATTGCAGCATTATTCCCAGTGACCAAGACATGGAAACAACCAAAGTTTCCTTCCATAGATGATTGGGTAAAGAAGATTTGGTACATATGTACAATGGAATACTACTCAGCCATAAGAAAAGATGAAACACTACCCTGTGGGGAGATTAAAAATGGCAGCAGAGTAAGTGGAAGCTACACTGACACTCTCCAAGCACCAAACTGGAAATACAGCTAAAATACAGAAAAATCACCCTGAAAAATCAACTAAAGACTAGCTGGAGAGAACCCTGATAACTAAAGATGGAAAGTGGAGACTGTATAGAGACTGGTAGGAAGTGTGGAGACAAGAAAGGGATGGCTGGGCTTCCACAGTCAGCAGCTGAAGTTTCAAAGTGTTATCACAGCTGTTAGGAGTTTCCCACTGAGAACTCTGGGGTCTAAACCCCAAGCTGGCCTCCCCAGCCCAGAGCACCAGAACTTAGAAAGGTGCCCACGTAATACCTGACTGTGAAAAGCATCAAGGTTGCTGTCTGCCAGTGAGAGATGGCTGGAAATGCTGGCACCCTCTTAAAGGACCAAGGCACAACATTTTGTGTGCAGCTTTTCACCTTGGGCTCCAGGAGAGGGAGGGAAGAGTAGACTGGAGCTGTGTCAGGAGATTCCAGGGTTGCGGGGGTGGGAATTGGAGCTTGGAGGGCAATCTTCTGGTCTCCTGTGCTGAGTCATTCCCTCACTGTGTGGAGGACATCTTTCTCTGATTGACATTTGCTATCTAGTCAGTTTTGGCTGGGGTGAAGGCAATTGCACACCCTAATGGAAGTCATCTCGTCCCACCCTGTGGTCAGCATAAGGTTAATCAAGCATGAATAAAAATCAAACTGCAGGCAGAGGTGGATCTCTGGAGGTTTTGAGTCTGTCCTGATATAATCTCTGGCCCTGATCTAAGAAAAGCAGACCCTGGTGCACATTGTGGTGCTTTCCTAAGGTACCCAACCCCAACAGAGGGAGCCACAAGCTGTGGATTGCTGGTAGCCTCAAACAGAGTACTAAGTGCCAGTCAGAAGCAGCATCTGACATTATCCTGCATTAGAGATTGGGAGTCACAGCAGATCTACCTAATATATATACACAAACCCAGATAGAAAGCCAAAATGGGAAGACAAAGAAACAACTCCCAATGAAAGAAGAGGAGAATTCACCAGAAGAAGAACTAAATGAAACAGAGACAAGAAATTTATCAGAGATAGAGCTCAGAATAATAATGGCAAAGATGCTCAACAGCATGAGAAAAAATATAGTAATTATGAAAAAAGACCAGTTGGAAATAAAGAATGACATAACACTAATAACACTGTGGAAGGAATACACAGCAGATATGGGGAAGCAGAGGACTGGATCAGTGAATTAGAAGACAGAGTAGAAAAAAAAAATCACTCAATCAGAGAAACAAAAAACAATTTAAAAACAGGAGGACAGTTTAAGGGAGCCATGGGACAAAGTGAAACAAAAATATTCACATAATCAGAGTGCCAGAAGGAGGCGAAAGTGAGCAAGGGATAGAGAACATATTTGAAGAAATAATGGCAAAATACTTCCCCAACCTACTGAAGAAAAAAGTCACATAAGTGCAGGAGGCACATAGAGTCACAAGGAAGAAGAATCCAAACAGGCCCATACCCAGACACATCATAATTAAAATGACAAAAATTAAAAATAGAGAATCTTAAAGAGAGAAAAGCAATGTGTTACCTACAAAAGGGTTGATTCCTCATCAGAAACTCTATAAGCCAGAAGGGAATGGCATGAAGTATTCAAGGTAATGAAAAGCAAGTATCTGAAATCAAGATTACTATATCCAGAAAGGCTATCATTCAAAATAGATGGTGAAATAAAAAGCTTACCAGACAAAAAGGCTTTATCACCACCAAACCAGCACTGCAAGAAATGCTAACGGGACTGCTATAATGAGAAGAAATATATATAGAGAAACATAGACATACAGATCTTAAGTGTCAAGAAATAAGTTCCTATCAATAATAACCGTAAATGCAAATGGATTAAATGCTCCAATCAAAAGATATAGGGTACACGAAAGGATACAAAAACATGACCCAATTATATGCTGTCTACAAGAGACCCACCTCGGACCAAAAGACTCACACAGGCTGAGGATGAAGGGATGGAAAAACATTTTCCATGAATGGAAAGGAAAAAAAAAACAAAACAAAAACAACGCTAGGGTAGCAATCCTCATATCTGACAAATAGACTTCAAAATGAATTTCATCACAAGAGACAATAAGGGTCACTACATAATACTAAAGGTATCAATACAACAAGAGGATATAACCCTGGTAAACATATATGTACCCAATATAGGAGCACCTAAATATATATTAAAAAACACTTCTTGAGGACTTTAAGGGAAAGATCAAAAGCAATGCAGTTATAGTAGGGGACTTTAATGCCCTACTGACTTCACTGGATAGATCTTCCAGATAAAAAATTATCAAGGAAAGAGTGACTCTAAATGACCCACTGGATCAGATGGATTTAATTATCATTTATAGAACATTTCATCCCAATGCTGCAGAATATACATTCTTCTCAAGTACACATGGACCATTCTCAAAGATAGACCACATGTTAGAATACAAAACAAGTTTCTACAATTTCAAGAAAATTGAATTCATATCAAGCATCTTCTTAGACCACAATGGAATAAAATTAGAAATCAACTACATTAAAAATACTCCAAAACATTCTAACACAAGGAGGCTATATAACATGTTATTAAACAACTAGAGGCCTGGTGCATGAATTTGTGCACCAGTGGGGTCCCTTGACCTGGCCTGTGGGATCGGGCTGAAACCTGCTCTCCAACATCCCCCGAGGGGTCCCAGATTGCAAGAGGGCACAGGCCATGCCAAGGGACCCCACCGGTGCACAATCAGGGCCAGGGAGGGATGTAGGAGGTTGGCCAGCCCAGGAGGGACCGCGGAAGGGCTCCAGGGAGTGTCCAGACCAATTTGCTCAGTTCTGATTGACCAGACCCCAGCAACAAGCTAACCTACCAGTCGAAGCATCTCTCCCCTGGTGGTCAGTGCATGTCATAGCGAATAATTGAGTGGACTTAGCATATCATTAGCATATTATGCTTTGATTGGTTGAATGGCCTACTGGACAACCAGACACTTAGCATATTAGGCTTTTTTTATATAGGATGACAGGGTTACCAATGAGATCAAGGAAGAAATAAAAAATGTTCTGGAAACAAATGTAAATGAACCTAAAACAACCTAAAATCTCTGTGACCCAGCAAAAGCAGTTCTAAGAGGGAGGTTCATAGCACTTCAGGCCTACCTCAAAAGACAAGAAAAATTAATAATAAAATATTTAACACTACACCTTAAAGAATTAGAGCAATAAGAAAAGCCCAGAGGAAGTAGAATGAAATAAATAATAAAGATTAGAACAGAAATAAATTACATTGGGATGAAAAAAATCATACAAAAGTTCATTGAAACTAAGAGTTTATTCTTTGAAAAGATAAACAAGATTTATGAGCCTTCAGCTAGTCTCATCCTATATAATAAAAGCCTAATATGCAAGTTGACCAAATGGCGGAACCACCAGCCACTATGATATGCACTGACCACCAGGGGACAAACACTCAATGCAGGAGCTGCCCCCAGCCCACAGGCCCAAGGCACGTGCCAGCGGGGGACCTGTGATCGCCCCATCAGTTACCCCACAGATTGGCCCTGATTACTGGCCAGGCCTAGGGACTTTACCCATACATGAATTTCATGCACTGAGCCTCTAGTCAGAAAATAAAGAGAGAGGACCCCCAAAATTAAATCAGAAATGAAAGTGGTGAAGTAACAACTGACACCATGGAAATATAAAGGGTTGTAAGAAAATACTGTGAACAGCTATATGCCAACAAGCTGGACAAAGTGTATAAAATGGACACATTCCTAGAAAAATACAATCTCCCAAAACTGAATCAGAAAGAGTCAGAAAACCTAAATAAGCCAATAACAACTGATGAAATAGAAGCAGTAATCAAAAACTTCCTGCAAACAAAAGTCTTGCCCTGGACAGCTTTATAGGGGAGTTTTACCAAACCTTCAAAGAACAACACCTATCTTCCTCAAACTATTCCAAAAAATCCAAGAGGAATGAAAAGTTCCAAGGTCTTTTCATGAGTTCAATAAAGAGAACTAATTCCAAAACCAGATAAAGGAACAAGGAAATAGAACTATAGTCCAGTATATTGGGTGAACATATATGCTAAAACCTTTAACAAAATATTAGCAAATTGGATCCAGCAATGTATTAAAAAAGATCATATTCCATGACCAAATAGAACTTATTATGCAGATGAAGGATATTTGCAAATCAGTAAATGCGATACATCACATAAACAAATTAAAAGGAAAAAAAAATCACATGTACATATCAATTTACACAGAAAAAGAATTCAACAAAACCTAACACCTATCTTTTATTAAAAACTCTCAGCAAAGTGGGACTAGAGGGATCATATCTCAACATAATAAAGGTCATATATGACAAACGTATAGTGAACATCATACTCAATAGGCAATAACTAAAACCTTTTCCCCTAAGAACAGGAACAAGTCAGTGATGTCCAATTTCACCACTCATAGTACTGGAAGTTCTAGCCACAGGGTCAGACAAGAAGAAGTAAAAGACATCCAAATTGAAAAGGAAAAAGTTAAACTCTCATTATTCCCAAATGACATGATTATTATACATAGAAAATTCTAAAGACTCCACCAAAAACTACTAGATTTAATCAATGAATTTGGCAATGTAGCAGGATACAAAATTAACATCCAGAAATTGATGGCATTTTTATACACCAATAATTGAATTGTCAGAAAGAGAGATTAAACAAATAATCCAATTTACCATGGCAACAAAAAATTAAGGTATTTGGGAATAAACGTAACCAACGAGGTATAAGAGTTATACGTGGAAAACTACAGGATGTTGAAAAAAGAGAGAGAGGAAGATATAAACAAGTAGAAGAATATACCATGTTCATGGATTGGTAATATTTACATCATTAAAATGTTCATACTACCCAAAGAAATCTACAGATGCAATGCAATTATGATTAAAAAATTAACAGCATATTTCACAGATCTAGAAAAAAATACTCCAAAATGTATATGGAATCAGTAAAGACCCCAAATAATTGCAGTAATCTTGAGAAAGAAAGACAATGTTAGAGGAATCACAATACCAGATATCAAGTTATACTACAAAACCACTGTAATCAAAGCAGCCTGCTACTGGCACAAGAACAGACATATAGTTCAATGGAACAGAACAGAGACCCCAGAAATCAACCCAAGCAATTACCCTCAATTAATATTTGACAAAGAAGGTAAGAACATACAATGGAGTCAAGACAGTCTCCTCAATAAATGTTGTTGGGAAAATTGGACAGATACATGCACAAAAATGAAACTAGATCACCAACTTACACCATAAACAAGAATAAAACTCAAAATGGATACAAGACTTAAATGTAAGTTGTCATGGCATTAAAATTCTGGAAGAAACCATAAGAAGGAAAATCTCAGACATCTCTCCTAGCAACATGTTTACAGATACATCTCCTAGGGCAAAGGAAACTAAGGAGAAAATAAACAAATGGGACTACATAAAAATAAAAAGCTTCTTCATAATAAAAGAAGCCATCAACAAATCAAAAGGGATCCCGCTGTATAAGATAACATATTTGACTATGATATTTCTGATAAAGTTTTAATATATAAAATATATAAGTAACAAATACAACTTAACAAAAGGAAGACAAACAATCCAATTTAAAAATGGGCAGAATACCTGAATATATATTTCTCCAAAGAGGATATACAGATGGCCAAGAGACATATGAAAGAATACTCCAAGTTACTGATCATCAGAGAGATGCAAATTAAACAACAATGAGGTATCACCTTATACCTGTCAGAATGGCTACCATCAACAAATTACAAGTGCATATGGGAATATATCATAAGAAACCTGAAACACCAATCAGAAAAAATGCATGTATCCCTATGTTCAGAGCAGCACAATTTATAATAGCTAAGATCTGAAAATAACCCAAGTATATAAAAAAGCAGTGGTACATGTACACCATGGGATACTATACAGCAGTAAAAAAGAAGGAACTCAACATTTGCAATACCATGGAGGGACCTGGAGAGTATTATGTTAATCAAAATAAGCCAGTCAAACAAAGACAAATACAACATGATCTCACTCATATGTGGAATCTAATGAACAAAATAAACTGATGAACAAAATAGGTCCAGAAACATAGTAGCATAGAACAGACTGTGGAATATCAGAGGGTAAGCATAGCAAGATGACTGGGTGAGAAGAGATCAACCAAAGAACTTGTATGCACATATTCTTTAACCCATAAACACAGACAATAGAGTAGTGAAGGCCTTGGGTGGTGGATGGAGGTGGGCTAGAAGGGGTCAATACAGGGAAAAGGGGGACATACGAAATACTTTCAACAATAAAGATTTAATTAAAAATAAAGAAATACTGTCATATGACTACATGGATGGATCTTGAGAATATCATGCTTAGCAAAATAAATCAGACAGAAATAGTCAAGAACCATATGATTTCACTCATATGTAGGATATAAAACTGAAAGCACAAATGAACAAACAGTAAAAACAAACAAACTGCTAGACACAGACAACTATGGAATGCTTACCAGAGGGATTGGGTGTGGAAGGTAGTAAAAGGTAAAAGGGATCAAATATATGGTGACAGGATATTTGACTTAGTGTGGTTGGTTGGCAAACAATACAATATACAGATGATTAATCATAGAATTGTATACTTGAAACCTATATACCAATGTCACCCAATTAAGTTTAATTTTAAAATAAATAAATCACATATATTCAACAAATAACTTGTGTTGGAAAGAATGTAGAGAAAAGGGAGCCCTTGTGTACTTTTGGTGGGACTGCAAATTATTGCAGCCAATATAGAAAGCAGTGTGGAGACTCCTCAAAAAATTAAAAATAGAACTACCATACGATCCAGCAATTCTATTTCTATGTATTTATCAAAGGAAACAAAACACTAATTTAAAAAGACATATACCTTCCTATGTTCAAGGCAGCATTATTTACAATAGCCAAGATATGGAAACAACCTAGATTTCCATTGATAGATGAGTGGATAAAAAATATGTGGTCTAATTTTGCAATGGAATATTACTCAGCCATAAAAAATGAAATTTTACCATTTGTGAGAACAAGGATGGTATTATGCTAAGTGAAGTAAGAGAAAGACAAATACCATATGATTTCACTTATATGTGGAATATGAAGTAAAACAAAAACAGACTTATTGAAAAATGGTTTCCAGAGTAGATAAGAGTTGGGAGGATGGTTGAAAAAGGTGAAGGGCAATATGGAAAATTGTGATCAGTTTTCACAGTGATGGATGATTATTAGACTAAGTGTGATGATCACATTGTAAGATTTATAAATGTCCAATCAGTATATTACATGCCTGAAACTAATTTGTATACAAACTATACTTAAATAAAACTAGTAATGAAAAGCTTATTTTAGAGACGTTGTAGTGATTTGTGGAATTGAAATAATGCTTTATAATATAATGTTATTTATAATTAAACGATTGCAAATTTAAGAATTATTAACACATAGAACTTTTTGTGTAACTTTCTGTCTTCACACATGTTACTCAGTTTCCTGATATTTTCTTTTCTTTTTTAATTGATACTTAGAGAGAAGAAGGGAGAGAGAGAGAGAGAGAGAGAGAGAGAGAGAGAGAGAGAGAGAGAGAGAAATATCGATGTGAGAGAGAACCCATAACCTGGGTATGTGCCCTGACCAGGAATCAACCTGGTCAAAGGGACAAAGCTCCAAACAACTTAGCCACACTGGCCAGGACATTCCCTCCCTGATCTTCTGATGCATATTTATTGTTAAAACTGTATAAATAAAATTCTGGGAAACATATGTTGTAACAACATCCTTTGACAAGCACATGTCACTTAACAATTAGGCCAATGTAGATATTTTATACTGTTTTATTCACTTACTGTTCGATACACAAAGACTCTGAGCTGTTTGCCTCCAATGGTCTCAAGTTTTTGTCCATTGTAAAGCTCATTAAGTCCAACTTTTACTTTCAATATATGATTCTGCAGAATTAATTTAAGAAGGCGCTGATCCATGCTCAGAGTATCATCTATAAATAAATTTTAAAGGAAAAAATATAATGGTATTTAGAAAGCATTAAAGTTTCTCTTGGTAAGAGAAAATAATGAAAATGAATCATTCTTATCTTTGATACTATAGGTCCTACACTCTTATATAACTCAATTAAATGCTCAAGGCAATGGATTTTATGCACCAACAAAAACTCTATGAGCTATTTCATCAAGTGACTATAACATGTTTCCAAGCAGTCCAAACAATGGGTTTCATTTCTGTGAGGGCAACGTAGTTTTGTGTAGTCACTGGAAAAAGTTAAACTCTAGTGGTGGCCAAGAATTTTTCTGAGAATTTGATATCAAATAGCCAGAAAGACTACTGATGAATCATTTGTAAATTTACCTTCATTACTGAAGAGAAAATCAAAGCACAAAACATCTTAAAGGTAGGTTAACATTAATGCATATGGACATCATTATTACAAAGAAGAAAATCATTTCTAGAAATTTGAAGTTTTTATTGATAACTTCTGTCATAATTTGGTATTTGGAAAGTTGTAAAATAGGTGGCACTTATCTATATATATAAAAGCCTAAGTGACCATTATTACCAAATGACCAGAACGACTGGTCAACCAGTCGCTATGATGCACACTGACCACCAGAGGGCAGACGCTCAATGCAGGAGCTGTCCCCAGGTGGTCAGTGCACTCCCACAGCCAACCTCCCGCAGCCCCTCCCCGCAGCTGGCCAGCCCCTCGAATAGGCCTCAATTACTGGCCAGGCCAAGGGACTCCACCAGTGCACAAATTTGTGCACCAGGCCTCTAGTTTGTTTATATAATTATTAAATTATGCCTAACAATTTAAATATGTCTTTAAAAATCACTTTTCTAGAAAAAAATGGCAGGTTGCATTAATCTAAAGACCGTCACTGAATAGAAGCTACTAGGCAAAATATTTATAACAATAGTTTATAACTTAATATAGAAGTGTATAATATTCTCTTGTTTTATTTATTTATAATCATGCACTAGAGGGGGAGTCCCTCAGCCCAGCCTGCCTCCTCTTACTGTCTGGGAGCCCTCAGGGGCAGGAGGTGACCTGGCGATCAGGAGAAGGCGATGCCCCCATCACACCTCTGCTGCTGCCACTGCTGGCAGTGCAAGCCTGGGCCGGCCCTGGTTACTTGACCCTTGGGTGGCCCTGGGTGGCTGGGCAGCCAACATCCAAGGCTTTCCTGTGCCTTGGGCTGGTCCTGGGAGGCTGGGGGGTTAAGGGGACTGGGGGACTCCGGAGGCAGGCTCATGGAGCAGCTGGGCCAGCTTGGGGGCGGGCCCGGCCTTGCCGCACATCTGCCACCCCGGTGGAGCTGAAGGGATTGGGCATTGCCATCTTGTGACTGTGGGTGCCACCATCTTTGAGGGCATGGTAGTCAATTAGCATATCCCCTCCTTATTGGCTGTGGATGCTGCCATCTTTGAGGGTGGGACAGTCAATTAGCATATTCCCTTCTTATTGGCTGTGGACAGTGTCATCTTTGCAATGGCATGAGGGCCAATTAGCATATTCCCTCTTTATTAGATAGGATGTTACTGTCAAATTTTGAGATGCAAAATATACCTGTTTATTCCTAAATATTAGGTTGGTGTTAAATAAGAAAATCAGATTTATTTTTCTTAAGAATCATTATGTGTGCTGGTAATGTGGTTATATTCAGAAAACAACTGAATACCTCTTATCATAAACTTTCACTCCCTTTATGTTATTGCCTATTAAAATAAAATGTTTGAAATAAAGGACATTTCAATAGAGGTTATGTAGTGCTAACACACTGTATGGGTATCCAATACAAAAACCAATCAACAACTTGTAAAACATATATTATTTCTTATTGCCAACAGTCATAGTTGAAGAAAAATGGTGTGGATGGGTTGGGGGCTGAAGAGCAGGAATGACATTGTCCAGTAGTACATACCAGAAAATGCATTATTCACAGGTGCCAGCAAAGTATATTCTCCATCTGGCCTCAGAGCAGATGCCAAACCTAACTGGGCTATGAGGTCTGCAAAAGTGGTTTGTTGATTTCCAGCAAGCTCAATAACTTGTTTGGCTGTAAAATAAACCATCACAATTTCCAAAATGTCAGTGTTATCATCATCATAAAATTAGTAGATTAATTATTGGCTGTTTTCTATAAGCTATTTTCTGCACTGACAATTTAATAAGACATCCTGCCTTTCCTTAGTAAGAATTCCAGCTTCCCTTTTAGGGAATTAATAACATCAAAACATTTTAGAAGGAAAATATCTTTCTGTTTTCTTGCTTTTAATGTTCTTTACTTCTCTATTGCTCACCTCTAGACTCTACTCTTTTTTTAAAAATATATTTTATTGATTGTTTACAGAGAGGAAGGGAGAGGGATAGAGAGTTAGAAACATCGATGAGAGAGAAACATCGATTAGCTGCCTCCTGCACACCCCCTACTGGGGATGTGCCTACAAACAAGGTACATGCCCTTGACCGGAATGGAACCTGGGACCTTTCAGTCCGCAGACCTCTGCTCTATCCACTGAGCCAAACCGGTTAGGGCTAGACTCTACTCTTGTGAGTACCATAGTTCTTTCATTTATTCAAAGATGATCATTTAGCTATATCTTTCCTTTGTGTTTTTAAGAAATATTTGACACTATAAGAACCTTTATAAGTATTAGGTATTAGAAATCCTAGAAAACCAAGTTTCCATGCATGGAGTGCCCATGACTCCACAGGTTAACTATTTAGCACTCAGTTCACTCACTATTTATTTTGTGTTTGTGTTTCACATGTCATTCCTTATCCTATCTAATAATAGACAAACAGGGTAACTGACCGTACCTTTGCTACGCTTCCCATGGACTAATCAGCGAGATATGCAAATTAACCACCAACAAAGATGGCGGTTAATTTGCATATGTAGGTGCCAGGCGGAGCAAAAACTGAAAGTGGCTCCAGCTGGAGCAGCGAAGGCTTTGAAGGCGGCTCTGGCCGGAGCGTATGCCTGGGTCCCCGGTGCTGAAGGAAAACCGGTGCAGGCAGCTAGGGGAAGGGAAGGCCTATTGCACGAATCTTTTCGTGCAACAGGCCTCTAGTACTACATATTCATCTTTCATGGACTTACTCTTGAGGCATCATAATTGATAAACAATAATAATTAGAAGAATATGAAACTGTTACTCACCAGAATCAGGAATTAGGACCTGATCAATCAAATGAATAACACCATTGTTTGTCACAATATCTTTTTTGTTCACCATTTTTATTCCATTTACTGTTATGCTGTCACCATCACATCCTATCTCTATTGTGTTTCCTTCCAGAGTCTCAAAGACTGCTCCTCCTGTAATGGCCTCAGAACACTGGAGAGTGTTTAAAATGTGATATTTCATGAGAGCTGAAGGACAGAATAAAAAGAGAAAGTATTCATATCAAGGGAAATAGAATTTGACCCTTAAAAAACTTGTTTCACTATGAACTAAGTATTTATAAGAAATATATATATCTTATCTAAGGATTAACTAAATGTTTTCAAAGTCTGTTGAAGTTCTTGTAATTTTTTTCATCAACTATATAACAGACAAAGCTCAGCTCAGTAGGACGAAGAAAAGAAGATCAGTTGCATGAAATAATTTGTATAATACTAACAAAATGTGTTGGGTCAAGTCCCCACTATCATAAAAAAGCACTTTTTGATGTGAAAGCAAAAAAATGAATTTGTTCCATTCAGAAGGCCTGTAAAGTTATTTGTTAACTGATATTAGTCCCAAAACACATGAGCAGTATCTTGCATTAGCCACTCATAACAGAATACCTGTACATAAATTTGTAAAGCAATTAATAGAAACTGAAGGCAAGACAAAGAATTCCCTAAAGACAACATATAGAAAGTATTTAAAGTAAAGATTATTTTTGAAGCATATCTCAAGGGATCAATGCTTCAATTATATTATTTTTATATCTGAATTTTCAAAATTCTAATTTTAAATTGGTTAAATGTATTTTGGAAGAGGCTAAGGAAAATGTATTAGTCACAATGTAAAATCTATTTGAAAATAGAAAAGGAGACTGGAAAGAAGACAAATTTTATACATCAATAAGTAATGGCCCAAGAGAACCATGCAATTTATTCAACTCAATCATATTTTTTAGCATAAGTTTATAATTAAGAACACTTAATAATATGTATATAATATTAAAATTTGATGGTTTAGGATACCTTTTCTATACTTGCTGATTCTTTTAATGTTGCTATTTACTTACTTGAAAATAGTACAAAAGTATAGTCTTTAGAATATTATTATTTTAATTACTTTAATTAGTAAATTAATTATTAAATTACTCTGCATATGCTTTCAAAGACTTTTTTTTAAGATTTTTATAGTTCACTTAAATTTTTTTCTTTGTCTTTGCTTATCAAAGCTGATAACTTTAGCATGGCAATCTCTTTTTTATTTTATTTTCTTCTTGAAATTCTGGGAAGCTTCCCATATAGGAAAACATTTTTGTACCTTCAGAAGCCACTTTGTCTCCCATGATCCTTTCTAGGACACCTCGTGGAAGTTTCTCAAAGGCCTCATTGGTGGGAGCAAAGAGTGTGAAGTGACCATCTCTTCCAAGGGCTTCCAATATATCAGATGTGATGGCTGCTGCCTAAAACACAAATGTGCTTTTTAGATGCTTGCACATTATAAATCCAAAAGAAAATTGCAAGACACTTAGACTAGGCTGACAAGAATGAGCTCATTGTATAGAAAACTATAAAAGTTTGGTCTATAGTACTGTATAGAAACATTATAGTACTTTTTGGCACACCAACTATGTCCTTTCCATCTTTTTTCAAACTGTCTGTAAAAAATTACAATTCTGCCATTGTTTGTATGACTGTAGCAATATCCAGCAGTACATAAAATAACTAAGATGTACACATTGTAAATGTACTAAATATACTGCAGTCATGTAACTAATCATTTTCATCTATGTTGTCCACCTAAATATTATTTCATATGAGATGATTTATTCTATGTAAAATGAAAGCTTTTCATCTCAAGAAATATATTTGTTGTCTTTCTGCCAGATTTGTTTAATAGCATTTTATTGTTTTTAGATTCGAACAGAGAAAGAGAAGGAATTTCAATGATCCATGACAATCTACTGTTGCTTCTTGTTCTTACCCTAAAAGATGAGAGGTCATCTTCTGCTTCAATGAAGTCTTGAATTGAGGTACCAATTTGTGTAAGGACACGGTCAATGACATGTACAACACCATTTGTTGCAATCTGGTTCCCATGGATGATTCGAGCACAATTAACAGTGACAACCTATAATTATTTGGGAAAATCAAAGTGCAAGAATCAGAGCTATCCATTGACTACTGAGACAGCAAGCTCATTCCCTATTTTTAATTTATACTAATAAAATTAACATAAAGAAAGAGACATTCTGAATATAAATTCTGAAAATAAAAACTTGCATATTGCTATACATAAAAAAGAAATAAGAGAAAACAGAACCAGTAGAGAACTCAAATATAGTTACACTTAACATATCATAAAATATAAGAAAAAAGCATTTTTTCATTTGAATTATTACTTTAATTCTTTTTTTCTTTTATAGATATAGTAATCAACTATTTCTAATGTAGAGCAATCTATAATAATAAAAGCATAATATGCTAATTAGACTGGACGTCCTTCTGGACATCCTTCTGTCCTTCTGGATGAAGCTGGGGCTGCGAGGGAAGCCCGGGTCCCAGGTGCCAGAGGGAAACCGGTGCCAACAGCTGGGGGAAAGAAGACCTACTCTTGCATGAATTTCGTGCATCGGGCCTCTAATAACTTACATAAAATGTCTAAATAGTCCTAAAATAAATTCTAAGAGTGAAAAACAATTATTATATAAATATATTCAGTTTGATTCTAATAATGTTCTAAATATTTCCTCTTCAGTGATACTTTTTGACTCTGGAAATTTGACTGTTGAAAGAGTCCTATGAACTTGTAAGTTTTACACAAAGACTCTTATCTAAATACACAAGAACCTAACTCAGTATAGTAGCCAGAGGCTGAATAAAGGGAATTCTCATTCTCTGATTATTCTTTGACACACTTTCTGATAAATTATTATTTATTAATTTTCTCTGATTACTATTTTTTTAAACTCATCAACTACTAAGATGTCCTCTTTTAGAACATCTAAGTCTATTGTTAATTTAATTTATTCCTCACAATCAGTCACTGAATCAATAATGTACCTGTCCTAAACATGGAGCAAAGTCATGATATGGCACCTATATTTACTAACTTTTATTAGCTCTGTGAACATTATATAAATAGTACAGAAAAAATTAAGGGCAACATTACTTAGAAATGTACTGTTTACTAGTGAAACTTACCCCATTAGGATAATGGTTAATGAAAAGCCCCAGATTGTTATACATCGAAGGAACAATCATACCATTTTTTAAGTCTTTGGTTAACATTCGCTTATTAACCATGTGGCTATGTAAAGCATTCAATAATTCAACATTTACATTGCTCTCCAAACCTCTACGGATATCCTAGGAAAAATTAAAATTATAGAAGTTTATTTTATTGTGATTCATTACTAATATTCTTATAATTACACTATCACTCCTCTCATTAATTTATCTTTGCATTGTCCAGCTGAGCAAACCAAACTGTCATAAATAACTTATTTTTTATTATTTCAATTAATTAAGGAATTTTGTAAGTATAGGTATTCAGTTAAGGTCCTGAATCTGGTAGAGTGCTTGGGCATTTTTAGAGACAAAACAATATTTTAAGTGTATATATTGATAAAGTGACAATCTTGATATATAGTAAAGGCATACAGGGATATACAATTATCAGACATTTAAACTATTTTGAGTAGTAAAACAAAAACATTACATTGTATACAATATTTGAATTTAATAAATGATTTTATGTTTATTCAAAAACAAATTTAAGAATTCAAACATTCTGTACCTTTTTATTCATCCAAAATTATATATGATATCATGGTGTACATGGTGCTATGGGAAGTACAATGATAGGTACGGTGAAGTTTATACTTTTAAGGTACTTATCACATAATAGCATGCAACAAAAAGCACAATAAGATAGAGGATAGAAGGTGGAAAAATATTTCAGTGATCAAATGAGGAAAGCCAGCTTTTTAAGGTTTGCAGATAGGCCTTGAAGGGTAGATAGGATAGGAATGGTGCAATGATCATTCTGAGTCCAGTTTATAAATATTAAGAGAGCAGAAGTTATCTAGTGGGGTTAGCACATATTTGAGTTTCTCTGATAATATTAAGAAAAGTATGTGGGGCAATAACATATCAAACATTAATGCCTGAGTAAAGTTGTAAATTAAACTGACAATGGGAAGCCACTGAAGATTTGTGGCATTGGATTATAATAATTAGATTATAATAATGGGCCTTAGGAAGGTTAATGGGGTGGTAATGTACAGCAAATGTGAGGGTATTAAAAGTATGAAACATGGGATATGGGTGACTAACTAGTTTGTAAGAACTGGAGAGAAAAGAAGTAAGGATGACTTACAATATCCAAGTCTAAACACCTGCTACTGCCAATTGTGGAAAAAAGAGAAAAACAATTGTTTATGGAGAGAAAAAAATGTATATGTTGTAGATACCTTTTGTTTAAAGATAAAGATGATGTATCCAAAGAGCAATATTAAGATGTACATTAGAAATATTCTCCTGGAGTTCCAAAAAGAGCAAGTACAAGAAACATAGATATCATGTTATTTGCACTAAAGTAATAGATGAAGTCATCAAAAGTGTATATAAAGAGGAAAGTCTACTGCATAGACTGTAATAACACCCATCCTTAAGGCAAGGAAGAAGAGGAGTCAGCAAAAGAAATGTGGTTAAAGACAACCAGAAGAGAGAGTTCTATAATGCAAGCAATTAAACACAAAGTTACAAGATACTATCCAGAGGAATCTGCCTAAATTTTACTATATATATATATATATATATATATATATATATATATATATATATATATTTACTGTAGTAGCAATTATCAATTCATCAAGTAGAAAGTAGAAATACATTTTGATTCCAGTTTTACAGATTTGGGAACTGGGTCATAGTTTGGTGTGTGTAAATCAGACTATTCACAAAATCAAATGCATTGTTTACAACACTTCATTTAAATATTCATACATGTGTTTATAAATCTGTCAATCTCTAAATAGTTATATATATTTACATATATTCAAAATAATAAAATATATCTATAAAATATAATAAATTCAAAATTTCACTAAGCTTCTTACCTTTCTATTAGATATGTCAAAGTTACATATATTGCCTGGCTGGGTGTGGCTCAGTGGTTGAGCATCAACACAGGAACCAAGAAGTTCCATTCCCAGTCAAGGCATATGCCTGAGTTGTGGCTTGATCCCCAGTAGAGGGCATGCAGGAGGCAGCCAATTAATGATTCTCTCTCATTACTGATGTTGCCATCTCTCTCTGCCTCTCCCTTCCTCTCTGAAATCAATAAAAATATATTTAAATTTTTTTTAAATTACATATATTTTCTCACAACCAAAAAAGAAAGAGTAAAGGAGTAAAATAGAATAATAATAAGTGCTAGTTCAGTAGTCCATTTTTGGTTTGCCTTTTCTTTATTAAGCTATGAGGATGCTGGATTTTATTTATGGATATATGAAAATGACTTATTCCTTACCCTCAATAACTTATCCTTTTATGTATCTTTATATATGTATAATTGAAAGATATACTAGTAAACGTCTATTAATTTCCAAGTTAATAAAGCAATTAAAAATAAAATAATAATGACAACAAAAATAATTATATTTAAAAAAGTAATGAATTACAGAATCCAAGTTGTTCCAAGCCTCATTACTTGGTGCAAAGTAAGTGAATGATCCTTTTCCTTCGATCTCTTCTCTCAATTTTGAGACATCAGAATAGTGTTGTGTTGTGGTGGCTCCCACAATGCCCAGAGTACCATAAACATTGTCAATAGGCAAAACTGAAATAATAAAGAAATAAATAAGAATTTAGGATATTATTTCAAGGATATTATTTTATAAGCATTTAAACTTTACACTATTGGTAAGTTCCCCAATACATTGAATTGATAATTTTAGCAATAAAACTCTATGACATCAATTTTATATGAAAACTGCCTTTTGAGTGCTAAATAATAAAATACTATTGAAAACTATTATTTCATATACCCTTTGTGTATATACTTGTGACGAAAAATGAATTTTAAATCATCATTTTAGTTTAACATATAGTCTGCTTAGGTGTCAATCTTTCTATGTCAATAATAGCTCAATTATAATCGCCAGTAAATATCTCTGATTATTTCATGGCAAAAGTGGTATTTTCTCTCATGTTGGCTTAAAGTTCTTAAATAGTATGTTATTGTTATGTATAGAAATATAATTTTGATAGATTTGGGTACTTAAAAGAAATATACAGACCTGCTTCTTTTAATCACCAGAAAAGAAATAGATCAAAGTATCTTACATGTCCAGAATAGCTCTCTTGGACTTCCAGAAGAAAGATTAATATATCAATATCAAACTTAAGCTTGGTGCAGAAACTTATTTTTTATAATTCTATCATATTTGAAAATTAGTCTACTTTGGACAATCTCATTGGATAAATGATTATTACAGCTGTGACTATAATAAGGTGATATAATTAATATATTAAATGATAAAATCAGGATTTAAAAATACTCCAACAGGATGGAGAAAATGAGTCAAAATTAACAGATTAAATGTAGCAGGGTTCCATGCAAGTTCTATGCTTAAGTTGAAAACAAAAATCCTGAGAATGACCTGACTGGATAGTGTTCATATAAACAAGGCCTGTAATAAATTTTAATTGATTTGCAAATTCAATATGAGTTAATGATATGACATGGTAACCAATTATATTAACACAAGTTTAGGGGCACCCAAAAGTGAGATATTTGTCTTGATAGTCTCTCAGCTTCTTGAAACCACTTGAATTGTAAACACCAGTCTGGGATCACAATCAGAAAATAGATGACTGGACTGGGGGCTTTTTATGAGTCGGTTTACGTGATGGTGAGACATCCAAAGTCTATGCAACATTAGAGAAAGTAGGGTTGGCTCCCACTTCCCCCAGAAAAGAGAAGATTCTGTTGGAGAAGAGAGGGTAGCTGGAGAAATGTTGTGATGGTTGGTGCTGAATATCAGAATAGCTACCATTTCAAAGAGGAAATTGATTAACTGTTTTTTTCCTCTAGTAGACAGAGTTTTAGGTAACCAACTTTCAATATGAGGAATATTATAAAACCAGAGCTGTCCAATTAGAAAAATATGTTGCCTTTCTAAATAGCTACATGTTTCTAGACAAGTTCAAAGAAATAGATTTTTAGAGGAAATTTTTGTTCATGAAGGAAAGTTAAAATAATTTAATTTATGTGTCTGTTGCATTGTACAGCATTCAGTGTATCCAAAGCACATTGTAATATTTTACCACCATGATAAATTAGTGATTAACACCAATATATGGGGGCATAGTTAGGAAGTATACACACACACACACACACACACACACACACACACACACACTTGACTTCTCTACAAGCTACTTCAACCTTTTTCTTCAAACAATACAAACTTCTCATTTAATTCAGTAACTAAAATTTTACCTGCTGGGCAGCCTTTCACTCCTTCCATTCTCGTATAACCAGGGCAACATTCATATAGCACAGTCCTGTGCATTGGAAGAAAATCAATATTAAAATGGGGAACTACATAGAATACATTTTGACATAAACTTTGTAAAGCATATGCTATGAAATTTTTAGAATCCAGAAATCAATCATTTGTTTATTTTTGACACTAAGGTATTTATATTAGTTTGAGGATATAGTAAAGATTTTCCCTAAATATGTCAGAAAGCAGGTCCTTTCTTTTATACTTAGTGTGTATTCCAAATATGCCTCATGATAATCAAGAATATAAAGAACAAAGATTTTGAATCTAGAGCCTTGGAGTTTCCAGCTGGGACCTGGCCTGCATCATGGCCAAGATCATTATCACTACTGATTTGTAATTGTAATTGTAAATGTGTGAATGACTCACAAGTCTACCAAATGTCTGCAAACTAACAGAAATAATGTTTTAGTCAAATAGTAAGTCTGGGTGAGGGGCTGAGGGCCATTTTCAGGCTGGCCAAGCCCCCCAGCAATGGAAGCTCCCAGCCTCTACTTTTTTTCTTTCTTTTTTTTTTTTTTAAATTCTGGGATTTATTTACCTTCTATAATTGAAACTTTGTAGCCTTGAGAGGAGCTCAGAGCCGGCCAGGGCAGGTGGGAGGGAAGCCTCCTGCTCGCTCCAGCTCTGTGGCCACAGCTAGCTGAAAGCAAGTATCTGGGGTTTATTTACCTTCTATAATTGAAACTTTGTTGCTTTGAGTGGAGCTCAGAGCCAGGCCATGGCAAGCGGGAAGCTTGGCTTCCTCCATCATTGAGGCAACCAAGCCTCCTGCTTGCTCCAGCTCCGTGGCTGCTGTCCGCCATCTTGATTGGGTTAATTTGCATATAGTCACTCTGATTGGCTGGTGGGCATGGCTTAGGGCATAGCTAAGGTATGGTCAATTTGCATGTTTGTCTTTTATTAGTGTAGATTAAACCAATAAGCAGGTTTATCAAGCAATAAAACATGCTTTCCAATTTTAAGTTAATCAGTGAAAAATATAACTAAAAGAGCAATTGTCTTTTGGACTATAGTGGTGGACTTTTTGTCTATAGTGGTGGGCTGGGCATCTGGTGGTTTGGAATTAAATGAAGAGTTGAAATATTCAAATCCTTTTAACTTTAGCTTTGATAAAAACTCTGAGGTCAGTTAGAGTACTTTAGATAATTTTCAAATAACTGTAGGTAAGCATTAATTTGTGACTCAAAACCCCTAATATGTCAGGTCATTTTGCTCTTCTAGCCCATTTTTTAAACATAAAATAAAAAAATCTGGGGCATAAAGGTTAAATGATTTGCTTAAGAGAAAAGAGGGAGTAAAAATTACATAGTCAACCTCTCACACAGATTCTATACCAAATCACATTGCCATGTGACTTGCCTCCTTTGAACCTATATGAAACATAGGTTCAGGAATGAGAATTCCACTAGTATATGGAGAAATACAGGGAGAATTTCTTCATTCATGTATGCGATCTCTTCCTTTTTTTAGGAAGCTCATGATTTGGGAGAGGTTTTTCAAGAAAAATGGAGGAGGTATGCCCAAGGAAAGACAGACATCACGGTGTTGTCTTTGGAGCTGGCACATTAAGAAAAAGATGAGACTTACGTTTTCTTTCCACAGATGGCACCTTGATACCAGTTTCTACAAGTGCTGAAGTATTTCTTTTTGGTGCCTAAAATCTGTTGAAGGGCACAGACATTTGGGCTTGAAAGAGAGAAGAAAAGAAAGAGAATTGTCATAAAGACATTTACCTGTAGTTTTTTTTTTTTTTTTTTTTTTTAAATATCTACCAGTAAAATGGTTACAAAAAGAGTTAACAGGTGGATTTGATTTTTAAGGATGTAATTAAAGTCTTGCACAAACTTGAATTTTATTTAATCTTACTGAATCATTGGAAAAACTAAAATCTATGTGAAAGAGAAATGATATAGCTCTGAGAATAAAATGTCAGTGTACCAAAAGTTAATCTAATAGTATTATAAAAGCAGTATTAAGTTTAATGTAATTTTGTTTTCACATATCTCATTCTCATTACTTTTAATTGTAAATAATCCATTGACTCCTTTTAAGCTAAACACATGATCAATTTGAGTATAGGGGAGCCTTTAGGGCTCCCTGAAACAATGAAAGACTAGAGGATAAAAGATACAAGTTTTACTATGTTCACAGACACTATATTCTGCAAATTTCTAGGTAAGCCATCATAAAATGAAATGAGGGCTAGAATTAACTTAAATAATATTGCTGCACAAATGAAAATTTATTTCTTTGAATTGAGATAATAGATTAGAATATCTTTTGCAATATTTTAAGTGTTTTTCTCTCTTAAATAGATGGAAGTCTTATTTGCACTGTAAGGCATGGAGCTTTTGAGCATTATGAAAATCCCTCTAAGACACAGGAAGAAGTGCCAAGATTCTTTTCAAAAAAATTCTAAATGGTTGGTTAAGATACTAAATTATGACATAATTTTCAAAATGCTAACTTGTAGCTGAATTTATTCTAAGAAATATAAATTGTCTGCAATTTTACTGAATCTAATATTTAAAAGCATCTTAAATGCTTCAAAAAATTCAGGGACCTTGTTACATTACCCATTATTTAATTTTTATACAAAACTTAAAAATTTCCCTAACATCATGTGAGATATTTCATAGCTGTTTACATAATGAAAATCTCTAACCACAGATTCTTTAACTTTGAAAATCTTATTCCAGATTTTTGGAAGAAAATAAAAACACAAATAAATGACATCATAAAGAAATGCCCTGTTAAATATTAATTAGATTCAAATTATATAACATTTCATAAAAAGCAATTATACACAGTTATTTTGAAAGTAATTCTTAACATTTAAAACATAAAATTACAGACTACACTTTTTTTTCTTATTACTTTGTAATAAGTAGAAAAATATACATCATTGTACATACAATAAGTTAAGGTGGGGGTGGGGGGTGGTCATAACTTGACTTACCCCTGATCTCGGCCTCTGATACGGCTATGAGCCAAAATTTTGTCATAATGACCATTGGCATTTGCAGGGTTAACAACAACCAGCAAGAGCAGAGAAAATATGCATAAGAAAGGAATCATCTTTAGCCTCTCCGTTGCAGTTCATCCAGGAAGAGAACTGGCAGTAGGCTTTGGAGAGCTCAGAGTTTATATACATGCCAGAGTTGTGGGAGGGAGAACTGTATCAACCTTGGGAATCTGCAAAAAACATCAGCAGCTTCAAATTGCTAGCTAAAATCCACTTTTGTTAGTTAGGTTTCCTGAACACATTGAGCCTCATTTTTACTCATATGAAGATTTTTGTTTTTATATTATTTATATTTCTCTTTATTTTTAATATCTGGCTCATTTCATGTTCATATTTCCATTTTATTCTTTGGTAATTTAGAGGGGCCTTTTAATAGGAAATAATTTTGTTTGGGTTTAAGGAATATTCTTCAATCCATCCCTTTCAGGGTACATGTCTCAGTGCTTCATGCAATCATTATTTGATCTTATCTTATCTTGTCACATTCATTTTACAACAAAAGTGAAAAGTAACCATTTTTTTCACCAGAAAACAAAAGAAGATATAAGTTTGATCATCACAAAGGGGTAGTGGCTGTTAATTAAAGACAAATGCAGAATGGATTTAAAACTTGCATGAAATATGAAATAAGAATTCTAACTTGCTGACAAAAGTGTAGAAGAGACCACATTTCCCTTACAATCCTACTGAGGAGATCCCTCTCATTTCACTCCTCTCTTTAAATATCAAAGGGTAGGTGGAATTAACATAGATCTACTTCTGTCACGTTTCCCTAAGTCTTGAAACAAAGCAGAAAAGGAAACATTTTTAGCTTTATTGTTTATTCATTATATACTTCACATGATATTGAAAATCTCTAGGCAGTAAATCTACTGATAAGCACTGGGCAAAATATCCCATATCAGAAAACAGTATTACTGATATAACCATAACAGAATAATTAAACTCATATTAAGAAACAGGGATGTTGCCATAATTATTCTTCTGATTTTATCAAGAGTAATTAAAGTCTCTTAAATGCTACATGAAATTCCTAGCAAAGGGAATATGCATTATCAAAACTCTACACTTATATCAAATCTTCAAAATATTTTGGATAAAAGAAATCTGAATTTTAGAAGTCAACAATGAGCTAAAATAATAAGGTCAGTGAATCTCCTTGGATAAACATGTTACACACTATTCTAACGTCAAAGTGCAATTCAAATTTTTCTTGTGGCAAATTGCTTCTGCTGCAATGGCACAATAGTTCTGCTTCCCTACTGGTAATATAAAGAAATTATATAATGAATCTCCATGTGTCCAATTGGAAGTGTTGTTGGGGAATCTGGATTGGACCAGAGAGAATTCCAAGTATCAGGATAGTTATATTAAGCTTGGATTTTGTCTTGGGGAAATACATAATTTTTCACCTTGCTGCCAGATTATTAAGAAAGTATAAAATGAAACAATAATTTCTGAAGTATGATTCAAAGGCTTTTTTTTTTCAATTTAAAAATCTCGGTAGTCACATCTATATATATATATAAAGAGCCAGGGGCTGTCACATCCAAAACAACAGAACAGTCTGAGTGGGGTGACAAGGCCAACAGGGGGGTTAGTGAGGGACAACCAAACGACTGAGCAGCGGGCTGCGTAGGGCGACCAGGCTGGTAGGGAGGCGGTTGGGGGCGACTAAGCCAGCAGGGGGGCAGTTAGGGGTGATCAGGCTGGCAGGCAGAGGCAGTTATGAGTGATGAGGCTGGCAGAGGGTCCAGTTAAGGGTGGTCAGGCAGGCAGGCAGGTGAGCAGTTAGGAGCCAGCAGTCCTGGATTGTGAGAAGGATGTCCAACTGCCGGTTTAGGCCCGATCCCCAGGATCAGACCTAAACTGGCAGTCGGCCATCCCCTGAGGGGTCCCTTCCTCCCCCACGCATGAATTTCATGCACCGGGCCTCTAGTATAGAAAATAAAAGAGCTATTTAAAAGGAGAGATGAAGAGAAAATGGCATAAAATGTAAATTATATTTTTTCCCTCATCCCTTATGGGAAGAAGAGAATTACTGTAGCCTATATTTTATATTTCTGTAAATGAAATATTCTAACTTCATCCATATGTTGCTGGCATGTGTTATATAATAGACTTCTATTCCTCTTATGTTGTGCAATTTGCCTATTGAGTAGGATGAAAAAACTTTTATAAAAATAATTTCTATTTAATATCAGCAAATTAGCTGTTAGAACATTATTGATAACATAGTTATAAAAATCTTCAATTCCAGACCTTATTGTTTAGACATTTATAGTGTAGATCAGTGATGGCAAACCTTTTGAGCTTGGTGTGTCAGCATTTTGAAAAACCCTAACTTAGCTCTGGTGCTGTGTCACATATAGAAATTTTTTGATATTTGCAACCATATTAAAACAAAGACATATTTTTGATATTTATTTTATATATTTAAATGTCATTTAACAAAGAAAAATCAACCAAAAAAATGAGTTCGAGTGTCACCTCTGACACGCGTGTCATAGATTCGCCATCACTGGTGTAGATTATTTTCTTAAAACATAACAATAGAGACTTGGAATTATAGAAAATAAATCAAACTTAAAATACAGAAATCTCTCTAACATCATCACTATAAGTAGTAATTTACTCTTTACTGGGATGCTCACTATTATTGATGCAACTTTTTAAATTTTAGATAACTATAACTGTTTATAAATTTTTCTGTAATGAAGCTAAAATTTGCTCAAATCTAATGTGGCTATTGAAGAGGAAGTAATGGGGTATAGAGAGGAAGAGATATAGACTTGGATAATATGTATTAAGAGTAAAAGAGCTCTTTAAATATAGTCCAGAATAATAACAGATAAGCTTGATTATGATTATAACAGTGAAGAAAGAATTAATAATTTACTGCCATGTCACCCACTTTCTTAATAGTGCCTGTAATAAATTGAAAATATATTAATTCTTAAAAAAAACCCAAAACCCCAAAACACCTAGTTGTTCCTTGATACCACAGTTTTATCTTTCAGTCGTCTGAATAAACAAATAATTGCATAAGATGAGTAGTGAAAATGGAAATGTATTTGTAAATTCAAGAGGACTGTTCCCTTTCTGAAAGGACATACAGGTTTCCTTTCTGTAAAAAACAAAACAAAACAAAAACATGAGATATGCTCCTTCAGTAGAAAGATATTCCCTAAATTTTTCTTTTTGGAGTTTCTAACAATGGAGTCTTAAATATATCCATGAGACTCATATTTGGAACTTGTTTAAGTCCCATGGAAGTCAACAAATGCTAGTTCTCAACAAATATTTATACTCAAGATGAGTAATGCAATCAAGGAAATGAGAGACAGATTGTGTATATAAACTGCATGTAAGTTTAGAGGTTGGAGAACATTCCAAGGAAGGAAAATTTTAGAGTAAAATAAAAACATTAAAGTACTGCAGCTTAAAAGCTGAGCTCAGCAAAGAAATAGTGGTGGTGTTGGTGGCTCTTCCATGGGATCGCAAGGAAAGCGTTTCAAGGATCCACACACATGAGATTGTGGTATGGTGGCATGGTTTATTTGTGATAGCTCCCCCTACCCCTGGGTTTCTAATGTGCCATCTCCTTCCATGTACAACATGTCTTCACCAAGGCCAAGGCAAAGGCCAGTGCCCAGAGTTTCTGCTTCATAGTCCTTCAGGGCCCCCTCAATCTACTGTGGAACCCAGGTGGCCACTAGACCCATATGGTTGCATGCTCTGGGCAGGAGAGAACACAATGAACAGGGCAAGTGCAGGTCACCAGTAAGAGAGAGAGTGAGAATGCTCTTCCTCTCCTGGGATTTTAACTAGGAGTTTGTTCAAAATAACCAATTAACTTCCCAAGATTTTGAGGGATTGCATTGGCTCCATCCCCCCATTAGCCAGTGATCTTTTCCCCAGATTATACCGACAGTCTCTGTGGTTAAGTACATCCCTCTGTGCCATTTTGACTTTATTGCTTATGTGTTTAATGCCCCTTTTCTTCTATTCCCTTCCTCAAGTGATCTGTGGGGAATGGACTGGTGGTTTTCTAGGGGGAGTGTGAAGCTGTAGCTTCCTGGTGAAGCAAATAGGCCTCTGCTTCCCAGCTGACCATGCCCAACAATTTCTGACTTGCTTCACTCTCTTCCTTTCAATAACTAGCTAATGAAGGTAACAGTGGGAAAAAGTCCAAGCAACTACTTCAAGCAGAATCTTGGCTTCAGCGAGGCAAATAATTGAATTCCGGTCCGTAGCCAACAGTTTGTTGTAGGGTAAGGAAAGAAATGGGAAATTCCCAAGAGTGGGAAGAAAGATAATCTAAATTATAGAGAAGAGATTAAAAAATAGTAAGAGGAATACAGTTCTCTCCTTTCAGAGCACTCATCAAGGACCTCTCTCTCTCTCTCTGTATCTCTCTCTCTCTCTCTTTCCCTCTCTCTTTCTCCACATAGAACCCTTATTCTTCTATTTCATGAAAAGATCCTGCCCCTGGTTTGACTACGTAATTTTATTCATGGTTTGAAGAAAGATTGAAGTCTTGGGACATTCCGGGTTACAAAGTCTGACCCAGAAATGCAAGCCATTAGTGAAAAAGAAACCATTTATAATGCAATCTGAGAAAAATAATGTGTCCAAAAGACAGAGACATTTGTTTTTAGCTACCAGGATGCTAATTCACTGTCAGTTCCCAAATTGTCCAGTAGATCTTTTTAGTAAGCCTTGTAGCCTCTAGAAATTGTGAAGTCACTGCAGTAATATACTTGCAATCACTGGCATGAAACCAATATTAGACTTACGCTCTCTAGCATTGGACATGGCCTCTGGATTAAAAATAGATTGGCCCTGGCCAGTGTCACTCAGTGGTTGAGTGTCAGCCTATGAACCAGGTCACACAGTTTGATTCCTGATCAGCGAGCATTCCCAGGTTGCAGGCTCAATCTCCAGTAGGGGGCATGCAGGAAGCAGCCCATCAATATTTCTCAACATTGATGTTTCTCTCTCTTTCCCTCTACTACTTTCCTCTCTCTCTAAAAATCAATAAAAACATATTCAAAACAAAACTGGATACTCAAGCCAAGAGTAGACTTTTAGGAGAGAATTTCCTTGCTTTTGAA